TGGATAAGAAAAGATGTGAGAAGATGAGGTTAGTTGAAGATGGAATGGAGATTGTTGGTGGAACTGGCCAAAGAATTGGACTGGTTTGAATTTGAAAAAATTCTGATGCAGGTGGCATAAAGTAGAAATTGATACCATTCTATTCTATTCCTATTCAACATATTGAAGTCTTGACTTGACATTGATCATTGAAATAATTGGAGTGCTGTGATTCATTTCACTGAGTATTTAGGGATGGGCAAATGGTAACAAATAAGTTGCACGGTCACTCCAGAATTTTGATGTGCTTACCTGTTGATTGCTGTTCTGTGCCTTCCATGAGAATCTTCAGAGTGGGTATGTTCCGTTGATGGCGAGCTTCTGAGCAGATTTGGAGTGTCCATCAAGTCTGGGGTCATATCGTCGGTTGTGAGTTGGGACAGTTGATTTCTTGAAAGTCTGGTGTCCATTGAATTGTCTACTTCGTAAGTACTCACCTCACAACCCGCCTCTATTCCAACAGGTTGAAGTTTAACAATCAGACGCTTGGAGACCATAGTTGGTTTGATAGCAGCCTCGCAAGTAACGTTGTATGGTTCGGTAACTCGATTTTGACTAGGTGCTTTTGCAGCATTCCTGTCTTGAGATCGGAACGTACTGTTGGCTGTTTCCATGTTTCGTTAGAGCTTATTTGTTGAGAGTGATAATTTACGCGTCCACCAGATTTGATCGAAATTAGTTGTCATTCTAGTTCACCGACCGTGTATTGAAGACCACATTCACAGGTCTTTATAGGAGATTGATTGATTATAGCAGTCATTGGCTGTTAGGAAATTAATGGCCCCCCGAACTGAACAGGAGTTCCTAATACACTTCCCATTCGTAGCCGTGATTTTCAAACCAAGGACGCCAAAGTTGAGTGAATTCCTCTTAGATCGCTACTCTGATTCAGAAGGTTTATGAACTTCTGGTTCGGTCGTACACATTAAAACTTTTTCGGTACTGATATAACGATTACTTCTCGTCTCTTATTAGAAGTTGAACTTGTGACATTTTGATCTCTTACAGGGCCATAGCTATCGCCAATATATTTTGGTTTAGAAGCTGTAACACCAGCAACATAGACTTCATCACCACACTGAATTCCCACTTCCTCCAGGTCCTTCATATCAAAAACCTGAATTCCAGTACTCTCTGAGAGAACAGTCGTCGTTTTCGTACCTGTCCATGCAAGTGTTGCACTGCATTTAAATATGTTGACTACCACTGTCAAGGGAATTTCCACAGCCAAATTTACCACATCAACTTGTGTCATATACACCTTGGTTGGTATCAAAAGAGCACCGACCTGTGTGCCTGTGAAAACGGTATATCTTATCCCCATTTAACTAGACAGTAATGTTACAGGTGTTTCCTAGAGATTTCCAGACATGGGTCTTTAATGTATGGAGGATTTGACATTGACAAGTCAATAAGTTGAGCTGAAGCCTTAGCAAAGAATTTCTTTTTTCAGGTGAATTCCTGTCTGACTATCAAATAGTTTTTGATGAAAGGTGCTTCAGGCATAAGAATTATCTGGACAAAATCGATCATTTCTGTCCGAATTACCTCGTATGCAGCAGCTTCTGATATCACGCCACACAAATTGTTCCGGAGCACATTTAGTTACTCCTCTACGCACTCTGCTTAAAATTAGAAACTTAAAAGTTAAAAATGATTGATATTTTATTTTGCCTCTTTCTTCCTCCATGCACTCTGAGACTGATTTTTCCCCAAAAATGTGTAACCTTGACAATACCCATAAATGTCTGTGGCAGATTCCACCAAGTTTGGATAACCCATTAGACCTAGCTAAGTTATTCTGGAGCTATCGAGAAAACAGACGTTTCGCGTGGAACAACATTATTCGCGAAGTGATGTGGTATCTCTGCACAAATAAATGTTCGAATGAGCAGGTGTTTCCTTCTCTGCACACTCTGGTTTCAAATCTTATTTATTTCTTTTTCAATTTAAATAATAAATAATTAATTAATTGTTCATTTTGCGTATTTTTTCTTCCTTTTTAATTTTTTCATCACAAAAACAAAACTTTTCATCGGAACGGGTGGAATTATGGTTTTTATTTTAATTATTATTGTTTAATTTATTCACAACACTGCATGGCATATTCGATCCCTTCCATAGTACTCATCTTACCTTTTCTCTACCTTTTTGTCTGTCTCTTTTACATCTGTGAATCACTCTTCTTTCCCCCTCCCCCCCCCCCCCCCCCTCCTCCATCCTCCCTGTGAAGCCCGCAGTCAACTTAAGGGTTAGTGATTACTGTCAAAATGCCTGACATTTGAAATAAATAAATAAGTTTATTCACGATGAAGAAAGATATTTTATGCTAACAGAGTCATTATTTTCAACTCAGTTCGTTTGCAAGAGGGAAGAGACAGTAAAAACTGTTTATCGGAGGAGAGAAAATGAATCACGGAAGATCATTTATCTTCAGGAGTTGAAGTCTTCCCTTTTTATCAAATTCAGAAATCAACATCCAAGAATACTTTTATCCTGAGGAGGTCTGAAGTAGCAATAAATAGGGATTGATTGGTAACCCGTACTTTCATACAGTTTCAATGTCATAAAACTTACCTCGTTGTCTTGGTTGAATAACAACTCATATATTCTTCCTTCATCAGCTACAATGAGGATAAATTATGATCAGATTTGACCATTACTTAATTTTCCTTAACCTTGAGTGGTGTCTGGTGATTGATGTTTATCTACAACTTGCTCACGAAATACAATTTTCAGATGAGGGAAGGAAATAGAAAGCCCACTCAATTTATCTGATTGAACAATTTGCTCAAAGCAATACTGGTATGAACTCGCTGTAAATTATGCATTGCAGTATGTAAGAGTGACGTCTGTATCTTCATCGGTCTCAATGTCTGACTACATATTGAATGAGTGAGGCTGTCTTACATCTGCACACAAGTTAATCTCATTTGTGTAAACGTGCCTTGACATTCTGCGAGTATGTCTGTTAAGCAACAATTCGATCTTTTCAAGGAGTGTTATCTCTGGCACTTTTGAACACTAATAAGCTTATGTCTAGATGTTTGAAATCATCCAACAAAGACGGTGAGGGATGCGTGTGGACCTTCCCTGGTATTAATTCTACTAATCTTTCTTCCTATTCATCAGGAGTGCCTTCAATAAAAACCACAGTAAAATCAAGGTAAACATTAATTTGTCTTAAAGTGTAGACACAGATAAATTTTGATTTAGATATTCGATGACATGTAAATGGACTCTTTTGGAAAAATCCCTTTCTGCTTTGTAATGTATGCGAAATCAAGTATGACACACGATATTTAAATTAGGAACATTAAGTTGCATTGAGTTACTAAGGTAGAAATCATATACAAACAGCACTGTTTTTATTCCAGTTGTCAAAGAATTTCTAAACGCATTCCAGAATTTCAAAAAAATTTATTAATGATGTCATATTTTCAAATTAATCAATTCCCTGTTTGAGAGAAAATAATCCTGTTGTGGACAACTCGTAATTTCTAACACAAGAAAATATTTCTACTTCTCTTCAAAAATATTGAATAAAAGTAAACATGACTCACAACCAAACAAAAGGCTCCCGTTAAAAGAGATCAACGAGTGTAGCTTAAAAGTGAGCTTAATCACTTCGGTCCACTGGGGAGGTCCTTCAGTAAATAAGGACAACATCTCAACAGAAGAAGTTGGATTATTACGATCACCAGCAACATATACACTTCCATTGAAGAATTCTGCTGCAGGACAATACCTCGAATGAAGCATGTTGGCAATTTCACACCAACTGCCTGCGTGTCCAAGAGGCGATGAAGTTGTCAAAAAGATTTCCGCTTTGTTGACACACTGCCCAGTCACTGCATATCCACCAACAACTATGTCACCAACACCGGGTATATGTGCTGCTCCTGTGCCGTATCGAGGTGTTGGCATTGGGGGCAGTTTCCTCCACCTACATTTTGGAAATACTAAATTCTCAAGTGATATTTGCTGATTCGTTACCTTCAACCAACGAGTTGGAGCTTGAAATCAGGCGGGGTCCAATATCCACATGCACACATGCTGGGGCACAATAATACCAACATCTTCCTTATTTCCACATCCCAGTCTATGCTGTTTCGGTATTTGAAAGGTCTTCAATTCACAGATATAGGAAGACATTTTGTAACAAAGACAATGCAACATGAATACTTTAATAAGTGATGGAGTCAACGGTTGCCAAGCAGTGTTCTATGGATACACATATCCAACTATTTATGACGATGTATAAATTACACAATATTTTTTCAGAACTCTCCAAGAATGATAAGTCACTTCATATTGCATTACCGATAGCAATGAAATGAATGCAAATCATTTTCCAACCAAAAGCAGACTAACTCACATAAAAGCAAAAAATGGATTCACGAATATCTCGAAATGCATATGAACTTGATATCAGAACATGTTAATCATCTGTATATGTACATGTTGATGGACGTAAGTTTGAAAATCTTGTCAATCTGAATAAACGAACGACTGGCGATCCTCTATTTGAAATATCTTTAGTTTTCAATTATAAGAGGAAATTTGCATCAAAGTCCACTGTATAATAAATAGATTAAATGCATTCATTTTAAGCTATACCTGAGCTATGTCCAACTATCACTAATGTCTTACAACAAATGACGATGTACCAATGAGTGAGTACTTTCAGAACTCTCAAGATGTAACAAAAGATGAGTGAACAGTCTCCTCAGATATTAGTGCATTGTCAAGAGCAATCAAGTGAGTGAAAGTCATTATCCGCACAAAATCGGACAAACTCAGATTGATTCAGATGTGTGTAGTTGCAATCAAGGTAGGTCCAAACATCACACCAGGCAAAATGTTTTAAAATGCGTTGAAGCCGCATATATAAAATGCTTACGTGTTGGTTGTAGGTGAAAATTCCTCACAAGAGTCTAATTTTTTGCCACTTTGCGTACTATAACCTCCAAAAACAAGAACTGCATTATCTCGAGCCACTGCAGAATGCCTACGTCTCTCTTCGATCATTGGTTGGAGTGCAATCACTTCACCATTCTTTGGATTGATTCTTTCCACTCTTGATGTAGTCACACCAGACTTTTCAAGGCCACCCAGAGTATAAACACTACCTACAAGGAGTAAAAATAGAGAAATTAAGAGTAAGCAATCGAAGTTAGATCTAACCATCCAAAGCAACTGTGTAGCTGAAGTCTCGAAATTCGAATGGGAAAGACAATTTTCGTCCTCCACTTAGTTCAGGAATCGCCTCCAAAACTCCTTTAGGTCCATGAAAACAGATTGTCGATTTCGAGCTGTGATGACAAAACAGTGCATTATGCATTTCAAATCAAGTGTTATAAAAAAATATGAGAGTACCTTTCCTTTTTCATTTCATTCAAATTCATAAATGTGTCCATAAATGTTTTCCTAAAGATTCAAATATTCGATAATGGGAATGACATTTTATCTTGCACTTTCCGACAAGTTGAAATCTGATCCACTAACTGACGCATTCATTATAACCTCTGTTGGCAATTTCTTCATGTCGATCAACTTGAGAAGAGGACAAAAATGCTTTTCCATTTTAACGTGTTCGTCATTTAAGGAGCATGCGTGCAACCATGTACAGATTGCCTTGAATTTCAATGTTTCTTTTCCATCGCATATCCAGGGACTATGCAGTAAGGTTTGAAGTTGGTCAACACCTACGTGTTGAAGAAAGGGCTGGCTGGAGGCTAATCTTTCAAAATCGCACGCAACCCTTGGTATGCACACGTCAATCAGATCAGTGTTCGAAGTGACATTTGCTGCCGACCAAACCTCCATCAAATCAAGTCGATCAAGTCTACAAGACAATGGCCGCTTGCGCATGAGTGAGAGGTGGTAAGTTTTCTCACCGTTTGCCACAAACTCTTACTCTATTACTCATCTTTCGCTTTTCTTTTGAACTTCACTTCACTAAAACTAACACTCTCACGCATTATTTTTATTTTGGTTGTAATAAACGAACCTTGTCTTGATGAACTCCGTTGTCCAGTCAATCAGCTGTTTGCAGCCAAGATTGTGGGGCATCAGATATATCCCCAATACGTTTTCAACATTTATGATTATTTCACCAGTGTAGGCGAAATCGACGGCTGCCTTAACAATACTAACAAGTTGGTAATGGAATCAGGATAAATGACCTACTCATATGGAAAACGACTCCAATTTGAGAGGTTTGAATGTCTGCCCTCTAATATTCTGTTTTTTATTCCTGGGAATCGTGCACAAAGGACAAGTTTGTGGGCAGGAATAGAAGTGCCGCCTTTGGTCTGGAATGAGAAAAGATGTCTCTTCAACCAAAATATGTACTCACTTGTATATTCAAATCAATTAGGCTCCTTTCTTGTCGCAATAGATTGAACCTATTTGCAAAGTTAGGTAGGAAGTCTTCATCGACATTTCGGATCTCAGTTGTGAATTGCATCGATAATACAATTATTGCAAAAGCTGTGGTAGGATGCGATAAAAATGTAAAAGTGGCAGACTTTGGTGAGTATTTGAAGCAATGGAATAGCACACTTACCCTTTCATAGCCAATAAAATTGTATCTAATGCCATGCAATTGTCACGTGCCAGACATAAATTTTCTGGTACTCAAATTGATGTGTGGTAGTTTTTGAAGAAAATGGAACACATTTTAATTAGCGTCATAAGGAGCGCGAAAATGAATTGCGAAACAAATTGTAATTTTTTAACGACTTTGGCTTCCAGAAGTTACATGGAACTTGTGTTTTGCATGGGAGAGGATACGATTCGGTTCAATATATTGCACCATGATTTCTCCTTTTTATTTTCACTTTGCTTTAGATAATACTCTTTATGAAGATTAATTCTATTAATGAAACATGACTTGTCTTATACTGATTGTTGAAATCGAGTTCAACACAAGCCAAAATTTACTTGTGAACTGTTCACAATTTGTTTGATGTCGGCAGTTTGAGCACGTTTCAACCAAGTAATCATATGCTCTCTCAAACATTCTGTCTAGGTTGATTTCGATTTGAAGACTGCATGATAAAACCAGATTTGCACAATTGAAGGGAAAAATTGGTCCCACGGTATTTCCTGCATACACTACTTATTAGAGGACTGGCTGTAATCCCTTGTCTTTAGAGCTTCGATTGCTGTTCCGTTGACCACCATAACAGGGATATAAATTTTTACCTTGCCTACCTTCAATTTTAATTCGATTGGACGTTTCTTAAGAGACATCTTACAGATTATCATGTGCTTTTCATTTCATCGCGCCATATTCTGCACTATGCGAAACACATATTTCAAATTCGTTGTGCAACCAAATTATGTGCTATTTGTGAAGCTAAACCATATGGTTTTCCATTCACTTCAAAACCTAGCACACATCAATTCGAGAACCAAGAAATTTATGAAAAAATATGAGCCGAATGCAGTGTATTTGCTAAGATTTAATTGATTACAAAAGGACGTGTGCTGTTGCAGTCATGCGACTGTTCTCCAAAGTGTGCCACTTTTTCATTCTAATCGAAATCAACAACTTTGTTTTTCAATTGAATTATAAACGATGCAATTTGCTTCTAAGTTCCCATAAAATTGATTAACACCTCATCAATAACTATGTAGATAGGTTCGATGAATTGCAACATGAAGTGCGACTAATCGATTTGTCAATACCTGTGAGTGCATATTTTCGTAGAAGCTGCTACTTGTCTATTTCTTGACCTAAGATTTCGCAGTTATTCCTGTTCAGAAACTCGTTCATTGGGCACAATTTCCAGTAATTTAGAACAGTATTGAAAATAATAAACAACCCAATCTCACAAAATGCAATAGTTTTTCACATGAGTTTGTCATCTGTCTCAATTACTATATCAACTCATTAGTATTGTTATGGCAGTCGTCAACTTTGCCTACACGGTTGAAATAATCATAAATGTTGAAAACGCATTGGGGATATATCTGATGGCCCACAATCTTGGCTGCAAATAGCTGATTGACTGGACAACGGACTTCATCAAGACAAGGTTCATTTTATCTAACCAAAATAAAGATAATTCGTGTATGTATGTGGCAAGTGCTCACATCTTGAATGTCAAGTGTTTTAAAAATCAATAATTATTTGAGGAATATTAGTGAAGCGGGTTTCTTAACGAAATAAAAAATATTGGTAAAAAACGATGGGTGATTGAATTATTATTTCTGACAGAATAAAAAGAGATGAGTCCCCTCTAACAAGGTCTGATATTTTGACAATTTTCACTACGCTCATGAGGCAATCGTCTTGAAGACTTGATTGACTTGATTTGGTGGATTTTTGGCCAACAGAAAGTATCACCTCAAAAACCGATCTCATTGAGAAGGAAAGCGTGTGATGTTGAGAGATTACCCTCCAACCAGCACTTCCTACAACACATAAGAGTCGATCAAACTCAAATCTCACTGCAAAGTCTGTGGATAATTGATGTAAGATATACAGTAAAATTCAAGGCACTCTGCACATGGTTGCGTGCCCCTTCCTTAACTCATGAAAAGAAATAGCACACACCCTTTCCTAACCACTTAAAATCGAGCAAATACACCTCCGTTAGCACACGTTTAACACAAATTTCTTGGTCCACAAATTAAAGAGAATTTAGCCCAATTGATTAAACAAAGAATTATATTTTGTAACCGAAATTAATATCCCCACCAAGTACATAACTGTTTCTGTCATAAGGTTTATATTATAATTGCATGTTACCACCTGAATTGACATACTCACAAAAAAACTGAATTTTGTTTGGAAGAAGATATGGTTTAGATAAGAAGAATGCAGATTGAGAATATTAAGTAGATAAATGCAAATTATTTAGATGACGAGCGACTACGACTAATTACAACTAATTACTGGAGGGATAAAATCAACACCCATTGATGCAATGCTCCTAGTTAGAGGAAGCACTACAATATGTTCCCTTATCAAATAGAAGGCTATGATCTTGTATGAGAAGCTACTGCGCATTCCCATGGATACGTTCTTCAGCACATATGAGAATAGACCAAGACATCTGAAAACGCAATGGCAGGCTTTATGATATTTATCATTAGCCCTTAAACTTGATTTCAGATTCCCCCAATGGTGGGGGGGGGGG